AACCCTAACCCTAACCCTAAACCTTAAACCGTAACCCCTAAACCCTTCAGTGCAGGCCCTCGAGGCCCTCCGGCCTACTGCAGGGAGGCCGCGGCCCGCTTCCTGCACCCCTGGCCGTGGAAGTCCAGGCTTCGGAAGGGATTACCGAAAAAAGGGGTTTAGGGTCCCAGATTTGGGGTTTTAGGTTTCCTTTTTTTTGAATTCCTTTTCAGGTCATGCTTTCCGGTTGAGTAAGGTAAGCCCAATTTTGAAACGGACGGTTTGGGTCGATCTCGTTGATGAAATCCTTCGCGCGGTGAACGCTTTTTTTTGTTGAAAGTTTTACCGATGTTTTGGGGCCACATGAGGATGCTAGAATTGGGTTTCACTAGGATCTGTTGCGTAGCAGTCCGGGGTATCGTGCACTCCGCTTCGGGTCTGCCGAGTCCAGCGGAACTTCCTCCTTCTTCAACTGAGCCATAGTCTAAACTCCTTAAAGTGGGTTATATAGGGGATTACTATAGGGGTTATTAAGTTGGATATTTGGAGTTTAGACTACAGCTTAAGTGTCACAGGGGTTGTGTCAGGTTCCTGGTTTTTTAATCGGTTCTAAACTACTGGTACTGGCTGGCAGGAGAGTCCTTACTGTCATAGAGATAGTTCAAGGATTGCATAGGGTTTTGCAGAGAGGATAGAGGCAGAACTCCAGGAAAAATTCGGCTTTGGGCGCCTCGTGTGTTTCATGGTTGAAGTGCTCTTAAGAGTCTTGGGAAGGTCGAGGGTTTGGGTGAAGAAAGCGTTTTGAGGTGCTAGCGCTGTTTGCTCCAACAATTTTCAGTTTTTTCGAGAGGCAAATTCATTGGCAGGCAGCGTAGGGTGCGGACAGAGGCCTGTGCATTGTACATTGAAGAACTTCAACGCTGCAAGCATGTGCTCCCAACCCCCAAACAGGCTGAGGTCCTGCCACCATGCTAAGGCTCAAATCGATGATGCATGTGTGCCCGAGCTTGCTGGTTTCCCAAGAGTTGATCCTGTTAAGGGGACCTGTCATGGATGGAGCACCTTGCGCAACCAGACCCGCTGAGATTCTGAACCTGATTCTAAAGCCGCGGCCTGGAACCTTAACTTTTTTAAAACTTGACTGTGAGCACTAGACTGCAACCGGTCGAACCTCAAAATCAGATGGTCCCTTAAAATTTGTACCCACGATTTTCGCAGTTCAGTATACAATTCACCTACTTGGGCTGCGATTTTTAGCCGGACATTCTCTTGAGCCTTATGAAAACCCACCATGCCTCATAACATCGAAGAAAACATTTTAAAAGCTTCTGCTTCAAAACAATATCAGATCTCTAAAGGATTAAAGGTCCTGATGGTAACCTGATTGCCTTTTGTAGCATTTTATGCTTGGTGCCATGTGTGATAGGCCGCAAGCTTGCTCAGCACGGAGACATGTGCGGGCCGGTGTCCTGAGGTCGCGCCCGGCCAAAAGATCAGTGTGCTAAATCGTAAGGTATCAAAGGGGATATACGGATTATATGCGGGGATGTGGACACATAAACGTTTATAGGGTTGTGGGTTTCGAGATGGAAACTGGATTTGGAATTGGAGGCTTACGGGGATGTGTAGGCATGTCTTTGGTTCAGGGCTTATCATAAGAGAGTTTTGTGAACCCCAACCAAGTAATGACGACATTCTGAGACCTTTACATGGGGTGGGCGTAGCCAAAATCATCTTATAGCCTAAGACCTGTTTATTCCCCGTCTATGTATATATATATGCATGCCCATGCACCCCACCCTCGATTTTAGAACCCCGAAAGGAGGACACCCAATAGTAATCCACCTACATATGCCTAGGGGCCCCAAGACCTCTTTGTTTTTAAGGATAGGGCCAACCAGGCGGCGCGCAGCAGTTGAAGAATGCCAGCGGGCTAGCTAGACGCAAGGCTTAGAACGAGGCGAACAAAACATGGCGTTTCACAAAGCGACACACATGAGCGATTTCAAGAACAAGGGTTCCCCCTTATGTACGTCCAAACATCTTGATCTTCATAAGTCTCTTGGGCAGCCAGGAAGTGACCTTGCTTTCAAAGCCTGAACCGTAAGGCCTCTACATATATGCACATATATATATATATGTGTACATATCCCTGCATATCCCTGAGCCTTGTGCTTGGGCCTTTTGGAAGTCCCATAGCCCATAAGCTTTGCAGAGACCATCCTTCGTGATCCCTATTTAGCTCTATGCAACACCTACATAGGATAACTCTACGTAAACCATCACAACCCTAACATGATATGTAGCACCTAGATAGTATAATTCTAGGTAACCCTATGTAACCCAATACATTTCTAGCATGTTTGGCCTTGTGTGCGGAGGAGGAGGAGGAGCCCATTTCTCTGCGCAGCCCTGCGCCGCTGGAGCTTCCCTGCACCTTCCTGGGCCAGAGGCTTGCTACTTCCAGACTCACGGGGAAAAGGGTTTAGGGTTTGGGGTTAGCAGCTTGTTTTCTAAAAGGGTTTTGGGATGGGATAGGGAACATATGCAGATATCTAGTGATATATCGGGCTGAACCTCCAAGTTGTCCAAAGACTCGAGGGGTTCTGTTGAAAGCGCTTCGCAGGCTCGTATGAACCATACTGAGGGATGTATGGGGGTTTCGGGGTCACCTGAAAGGGTGTTGGGATTGTACGTGGTTATACGTGGGCTTCCCCAAATCAGGGGTAGTTTCTTCAGGGGTCCCTACAATAAGGGTTTGAGTATTTTGGAAAATCTGTGCCTCAAAAAGTATTTTGGGGCCTGTATTGGGCGACCATTTTTTTGGGGAA